CATGAAATTTATTCAAAAAGTGATATAGGTACACAATAATACTAAGTAATAAAACCAATTATTTAGATTAAATTAATTATTAAGTTTACTTGATTAAAATTTAAGCATTGCTTTTATTTGTTAAATAACAGTAAAATGGTACCTAAAAACAATTTTTTAATCATACATAATTGGTCAAAAATAAATGTTAGAAATTTTGAAAATTATCATTAAACAGTGTTTATTTGGTTATGTTTATCTGATTACTGATGTTGAGTTAAACTTTTTAATTTAATGTTTAAATATTATTTAAATGCCTCGTATGCTCTAATAAACTCATATTAAAATAAATTTGACTAATGGTAACAATGGTATCAAGTATAAATGTATAAATGCAATCAAATTGTGCTATTTCACAAAAAGATAATAAAAATAAATGTTTTGTTTGTGTGTAATTTATCTTTATACTTACAATAAAATAGATCTTTTATTTTATTGCATTGTTTATTTTATTTTAAATTGAAATAGGCTTAATGTATTTGCATGATTAAAAAAATAGATGAATAATACAAATGACGGACTGTCAATTTTTTCACTTCTGGTATTATTATTATATAATATACATAAAATTACTGGAAATGAAATGATTTTGTATTTTATTCTGCTTTTATAGTAGGAATTTTTGATATATAATTTCTGAGCAATGGATATTGAATAAATTGAGATAAATTCTCGTTTAATTTTAATATATTCATGGAATAAAATGTATAAAGATACAGTGTGTTAATTAATAATGGGAATATCTCGCAGTAACTTATTTTAAACCTTTTTTTTTTAAATGTCATGTTGAAAGGTAGGCTTTTAGTCAAATATTGCATTAATGTATTCACATTTTACACTGACTTTCCAGTTAATTATGACATACTGTATGTGTATTTGTTTAGATAGATAGATAGCTAGATAGCATAAAGGGTGTCTCGCCAATCATGCTTACCCTCATATTATAATTATGACTTTTGGAGCTTTTTAGTATATTAAACCATATTAACAAAAGCTTAGATTTTTTATATCATTTAAGGAGTAGGATGTGAGACTAGAAAACTACAGAACTACATAATAATTTTTACTCAAATTTAAATCATACTTTTTTTACTATAAATTGTTAAGCAGATGATTTGCTTAAAGATCATTATGGATCTAAATCAAAATTTGCCCTAGTAGTTTCATATTTATTAAAATGTATGTACTTAAGATAACAACCCTATTATTAACGGGCTTAAATAAAACTCAAAATATATTTAATATTTGTCTACCTATAACTTACTATACTTAGAAAATGAAAAAAAAATTAAACAGATTAATGTAAATTACTATAATATTCAAATTATCGCCGTCCCGTTAATATTTGTGTTTATAGTATAATATTATAAAATCAACAAAAAATAAATAATTCGATTAAAATAAATTATAATAAAACAATAAATTATTGTCCAGACTACCCCTGTTCTAGAATGTTTTCAGTATTAATTAATATATTTTAAAAATGGCTTTATTATTTTATGGTATTCATTCAATTTAAACTTATTTTAAGTATTACAAACCTCAATATTCATAAAATATTATTATAATATAAACACGTGATATTGATGTAGCAAAATAGCCTATATGGGACGCCGTGTTACCTTAATGTAGTTGAAATGACCACAAACCGATTGAGCGTAAAACTTACCTTTTTTAAATGGTTGCGTATGTTTGTCAGGTGACAAAATAATTTCAATGCCACTATATCGATCACGAGAATCTAACGAAATAAGTTGCATAATTTTACTATTTTAAATAATTGGCAGCAAAACATGAATAAAATCAATAACCTTAGTTGTTGAGCATTTAATAAAAAAAAAAAAAATAAATAACTTACCTAGTAAAATTTAACCATAAATCATCATTATTTTTGTTTTAGGTATACACTAATCATGCAGTCTCATGTAATGTTATAGTTTAGTTCAATTCATAAAACAATTGTATAATATAATCTTCTCAGACGTTCACCTAAAAGTTCTACTTTCAAGTAATGTTAAATGTTTGATTAATATTACCTTTTATTTTAATATTTTGACAATATAGCTACACTCGAATAAAACGATAATTTCCAAACCTAGTTTTAAAGATATTAGTCATAATATATAATATATATGACATATATTACAAAACATAATACTGTGCTTTACTTTTATAATGATAAAATTACAAACAATTTTAATGACAAAACGTATACATAATCGAACTATAGAATATACTAAATACTAATATTGTTTTTTTATGCATTTAAAAAAGTAAATCATTTCTTGCACGACGCACTATTCCAGTTGTCCACCATTATTTTTTTAAATTAATTACAATTAATTTAATTCGTGTTTATGTTTTTAGATAACGAAGTATCGATCTTTGTACTTAATAATGTTATTTTTGATACTTGATTGAATTACTTCCAATAATTCCCATTTTATTATTCTTATTATTTGAATTGTATGAGTTTCAAAAATGTAATCATTGTAATATAATATAATATTACAATGCAATTTAATTTTTTTAGTTTATAATTTTATATTATAGTTAAGTGTTTTCACTTCAACGTTTGCTATTTACATGAGTACATTTATAGTACTATTGTACATCGGACGTATTAATTGTTTCACAAGGAAAAAAGATTTTTTAAATCATATAAACATTTATATAAGTATAGTATAATCCTATAATGTAATATACATTTAAACTACTATAGTGCTAAAGTTGACAACTGAAAGATTATATTCGAACTTATCGGACGTTGGATGTAAGTGCGTATTTGGTGTTTTGAATTAATTTACTAACGATATACAATGCGTTATTGTTTTGGTAAACTTTTAACGAAAACCAATAAAATAAAATCAAATCGAGCTATTGAGTTGAACCAAGTTTAAGTCTTAATAAGGATTTGGTTAACATCTCGAATAACGTAATAAATGCTCGAACATTCAGATAGTTCATAACAACAATATATAAAACCGAATGTTTCTCAATCGTTTATTAGTTTATGACCAAATTTCAATTACTGAAGTTCCGTATAAGCCATCCGATAGATTCTCTTGGGTTACACTGTTTTCTATTGAAAATACGTGAAGTTGGATCCAACAAACAATAAATTAATTATTTCAAAAATTTCGTTCATCTCGTTGTTAACGGTCAGATAAAATATTTGCGTTTCGAATTCAAATGTATTTGAAAGCAAGCTTTACATCAAAGGTATGTTCCCATTATTATTCGATTAATATAATTGGGTTGGATGGGGATAATTTTTTATTTTCTAATGGTTTTTCCAAAAAGATTACCAAAATTATTACTCGGTTGTTGTACGTACATTTGCAAGTCGAAAACTCGCAGTATAAAAATAGGTACATAGTACATAACGTTCGTGACACCTCCTACTATCATTGCCCATATTCACAATAGATAAATAAATATATCAGATAGTTATTATTTTTTCAATTAAAAAAATATTCGTGCCAATAAAATGGCTGATATTATTTTGTCAAAGTGATCTGAAGAATCTGAGCTGAAGAACCTGCTTAAAAATAGAAAACATTTTTAGGGTTACAGACTGTCAAATGCAATTAACTAACTATTGTTATGGAACTTTTGTTCCAATTAATATAAATAAAAAAAATGTTAAAAATGAATTCAACGTAGTAGTTTTATATAGTCAGGCACTTATGTCCATTATAACTATTTCATTTATTCTTTTCATTTGTTTCATTCTTTTTCTTAAGGCTTATTGGTCATTGACTATCCCGTCAAAAAATATCCCATCCTCAAACCTTCTTATCAGGCGCTCGTGTCTTCCAGCATGGTCCTCCGTTCAGTGCTTCTACATACTTATTAATTACATTTTCCTTTCTCAAACGAGGTGTCCCAGATGGGCTTTTTCCTACGGGATTCTCATCCATAATCATGCATAGGAGTTAGTTGTGGCTTCGCCAAGCGTGGCCAGCCCAAAGGTAATCTTTGGCTACTGATTATGTTCAATATTTTTTTTGTTTCTGAAGAAGTCTCCCCAACTCACTATTCTTCCCTTTTCTACACTCCCCTCCCCCTCTCCTTCATCATTCACTGGTCTAAAAGTCTTCCTTGAGATTTTTCTTTCAAAAATCCAAAGTTTCCTTTCCTCAGTTTTCCTTAGACTGATCTCTAATAATATATACTTATATATTTCATACATAGTTTTTGCATGATTTATTTATGACAATTTTTTGAAATATTTATTATGCATGGTACAGACATGATTTCAGACGTGCTCGGCTATGCCACAGTAATGAACTTGTACATATTTATATTAATTTTTTTCTATAAGAATTTTTTTTTTTGTTTTATTGCTTTCAAAATTGCGTTCAATCAGTGTAATGTAAAATAATTATTATGTTTATCATTTACCTCATAGATAAGAATAGACGGAAGATTTTTATGTTTAATAATCAATTTTTAAATATTTTGGTTTTTTTAACCATCAGATATTTAGGTCTAACAAAAAACTCATTACACCACATAAATATTGGCAAGATCTTAATGTAAAATGTGTCATTGTTATTATCGGTGCTGAAAAGAACTAAAATGTAAAAAAACAGGAGTTTGTGTCACACACTAGAGACACAAACGCACATCACTTAAGGGGGATACACTACTCACAAAATGGCATGGTGCTATTCGTTTGTTTTATACTCAAATATTTGAGTAATACATTGACCTGATGTAGGGAATCCATTTTTTGTTATAAGTATCAAGTAATAAAAATAAAATAAAAAATAGATTATATTATATCTTTATATATAACTAATATATATATATATATACGAAGCCTTTGCGTTTATTTAATTGTAGGTTATTGATTTATAAACCCTCTCAAATCTTATAATCTATAGTGATATCACGCATAATATATCTGTGAACTATTTAACATATTAATGTGATACGCTGATGCGAGGTCGTACTTACACAGCGAAGTGGTAAATGAAACAGATCCATCCGCACGGGTGTTCGAGGAACACGTAGACCTTCTCCTGGAACGTCTTGCCCTTCCGCTGGTGGAACACGTACTTGGCCTTGAACGCCTGGTCGATGGGCAGGTAAATGGGGTAATATGGGTCGGGGACCCCGGGGGGCGCGGGTGGTTTGGCATCGCCGCCGGCGGTCACCACCTCGACAATGGCCGCGTCGTCGGCATCACTGCTCGGCGTCGGCGGGTCAGTGAAGTCCTCGCGCGGCTGCCGGCGCTTCTTGAGCGGCGTGGGCACCCGCCGGTGGTGCGCCTCGCCAAACCTGGGCATCCGCCTGTGGTGGTGCGGCGGCCGGACCTGTTGGTCCGGTGCGGCTTCCTGCTTGCCGCCGTCAAACCGCTGCTGCCGACAGTCCACTTCCGGTTGGCCACCACCGCCACCGCCACCGATCCCGCCAACGCCGCCCGCACATCCAACACGTGGTCGTTGCTGATGCTGTTGCTGCAGCTGCTTCAGTTCGGTGGACGCGACCCTGTCGACGACGGGCGACCCGCCCGCCCCTCCGGTCCCTGTTCCACTGCCGTTGCTCCTCAGTGACACTTCCCTGGACTTGCGAAATAGCTGCACCTCTTCGGCGCGGTTCATGTCGACACAAAACGGCCACGCCAACATCCGGTGGCCGCCGTGCACATGGCTTTCTGAGCGCGGTACGCCGGCCGGCGCACTCACGACCTCCGATCGGCGTGATGCGACGTCATGTCGGCTTCGATGTCGGTGTCGGCCTCAGTGGCGGCGGCGGTGTTGTCGGAGGCTATAGTGGCTGCTGAGACAACGTAGTTTGCCGTGGCTGAGGCGGCGGCGGTGAGTGTCGCCACTGCGAAACCGTCAGAGAACAACCATCAGTGTGGCCAAGTGGCAAATCCGGTTATAAATTTATTTTCCGTCAAACCTAACACCAACAACTATTACGTTAAAGTCACGATAATTTATGATGGTCGACTCGCTTTGGTATACCATGACCACGAACCGTAATATAATACCTACACACAGTATTATGAAAATCTATGTACACCTGTATCCAAAGGTAAACCATTAACGAATGATTGCTGTAATACCTTAGTTTAGTAAAGTGAATTTTAAAAAAAAAAACAATGCCCTAATTTAAATAGTGTTTGTACAATAATATATTTATAAATCCATTACTTTGGTTAATATTAATAATCAATTAAATTGTTTTCTGTTTAGTGTTCACTGTATTCAATGGTTTTAATTAGAAATAAGCAAATACTTACGTATTTCTTGGTTTTATAGTTTAGAAATTTAGAAAACTCAAATGTGACATTTTCTAAGCCACTACAAAATAAACAGACATAATAAAGAAGTAAGCTAAATAGTTATAGTTACTATTTAAAAAAAATTTAAGGTTGCATAAACAATATTATAGTATGTGGTACGAATATCTGTGGTAATTTAAAAAAAATGAACTAACTCTTTTTTAACTGAGTTACCTAAATAAATTTTTTGTTCACTGTTAATCATAACATAACGTTGACTTCAATTAATCAAATCTAGTTAACTTTAACATATTTGTCTAAATCTATTGGTTTGTGATCCTGGCATACCAATATGCTGGCCTATATCCCTTTTTTTTTATTATTATTGACGACTTTTTACTGTACAACGTTTACTGATGTATATAATTGGTCAGAATAAGCTTCTTCCAATATTTGACACATACTTTTTATTTATTACATCTACTATTTTACACACTCATTTTTCGTCTACATAATATCTACGAAGGTAGAACGGAAAAACAACTTGACTTCTCCCTAACCATCCTCCGTTCGACGGTGACTGGGCTCTATCGATTTACGTATCTTGTAAGATAAATCGGTAGAATATTATCTAATATAGAATATGAATAATGGATATGAGATCGATTTCATAGTCTATGACGGAGTTAAATTCAGCACATTTCGAGTGTTTATAGTAATCGGTGCTCCATATTGCATATAAAGTAGAATTGGGATAAAACTCGTACTCTGGTAGCAATAGTTTTGCTGACCACTATTAGCACTGAACTATAAATGCGGAACGCGCATTGTATGTAATTCTTGCATTGAAAAGGGCCCCCTTTTTGAATCCTACAATTTTGATTCAATTTATCTATATCTTCATTGGAATCATAATAATATCACCAAAAATAAAATTCTTGGCAATAATGAATCTATGCATTTTTTTTGTTTGATAATTTTGAAATTTAAAAGCGGAATCAATATGGAAACGTCCCATAGTGGGACCAGATTGTCAGTCCTTATGGCGGGTTCTATATTTACAGTTCAGTGCTACTTACCCACATTCACATGATGAAAAATATTCAGAAACATCTGAAAGCGTGCAGTGCGAGTGGAAGCTAGTTAAATAGAATATTTCTGGAATGGAATTCGGCGTGTGACCTAAACAGTATAGACACATCAAACGGCCAAATATTACCGAGTACACAGAATGCCCTCGGTCCAAATAAGCCACAATGACGACGTATATTATTATTTTCCAGGCAAATATTTTGATAAACCACATGTGCATGAACTTCAAGTTATTATTAACGTATTTATAGTTTATAATATGATGTTCACTAAATCAGTTTACCCGTGCAGTACATAAATTTCAATACCCACAATTAATACGTTAAGAATATCTTTATAAAGGTAGGGAGGGACTCAGGTATTTCGGTATTTGAATCATTACACAAACACAAAAAGGAAAGTAATATTACTTTCGGTGATTTTTAAATTTAATTTTCCGGTGATTAAATAATTTGATAAACAATAATAATACAATATAATACCTACTATAATTTACACAATTCCAATGAAATGTTTGTCGAACAAAAATAATATGTTCCTTTATCAAACGATTGTTTTGGAAGGAGCATACTTGTTGTAAGATATAGACTAAAAAAGCGTGTTTAAGACGTAGTTAATATTATATACTTATATTAGAACGAAAAATAATTTGAATGAGCCACTAACTTTAATAAATTGCTTCTGTCAGAATGTCTATACATATAATTTTAATTAAACAAAGTCCGACTTATATCCTGTATTTTAATTAAAAATAAAAATTTGAAACATTAATTCAAAGTAAGAAGGTTAATTTTAAATGATAACCTTTTTGAAATAGTGAAGAATTTCTTTGTCAAACAAAAACACCAAAATGTATTCTATATTTTGTTCACAGTGTTTGGACTTATCTAGATAATTATGGGTTCATCTTTTATCTTATCTAAATAGTTACAAGCACAAGATATCTAAACGTTTATCTTAGATAATTTTTTTACTAATCTAAATAAATTCATCTAGATACATTTTTCATTGATAAGAATCTTGAAATTGTACAAACGAATTTTTAAATATTTATACAGATTCTCAAACAAAGTTTATGGTTTATAAATTATGTAATTATTTTTATTTATATCATTATTATTATTATGTTCCTAGTTTCCAACTAAAATATACCTAAATTTAAAACCATTTAAAAAATAATTGTATCTTTTTTTTATCTAGATAAATATGAGTTAAGTTATCTTTTATATGTATCTAGATACATTTGAGTTGCATTATCTTTATCTTTATCTAGATAAAAAAATACTTATCTTTGTTCAATACAATATCAAAGTCAACCTATTTTATTCTGTGTATTTCATTTAAAATCACAATTATTATTGTCCTAATCAAATAAACAATTGATACAAATAGTCAATAGAAAACCTGAGAACTCAACATGCATTGTCTGCAGGGGTTAAAGTGATGGGGGGCAGGGGGATTCAGCCCTCCCCCCTAGACAGTGATTAAAAAACGCCCCCTTTAACAAATAATTATTAACAGGGTTAAAAGTGGGATGAGTAGCTTACACAATCACTGTTTATACATTACATGTGCATTGGACGTTATAATAATTATATACAATTATACATAGAACGCTTAAAACTATATGGAGACAGTAGTTCCCCCTGGAATTTTTTTCCCACTTTAAGCCCTAATTTTGTCTGAGCCATAAACTTCACAAGTTACAATAAATCACATTACCCCGTCAGCCATATTTTAATAGTATAATAATTGTTAACTGTTAAGATAACAACCCAATTATCTGTTTAATTTCCCTGTATCACAATAGTTGAACGTGAATCGTTGATAATGCTCCTTAAGTAATGAGTTCCAAATATAGTATTATATATCCAATATTCTTATACGTAGTAACATCCACGTCAGTATTAAACAAATACTACACGAGCATTATGGTTTATTTATTTAATTTTTTACTAAATACAAGTGGCCCGATAAGGTGTGAGGCCTAAAAAATGAAAAACCATCTTAGAGTTAGAGTTAAAATAATTAATCACCATTAGATTCAGTTATTCGAAAATGCATAGGTATACTTAAATATATTTATTACAACCCGTCAATTACCGAAAAATTAAACAATTTTAAATATTTAATCGAGGAATACAAAAATACGGGTTGTTTGATTATGTAAATTGTTTGAGTTGGCTTTTTCATCATCTTTACAACTAAGATCTAACTTTTATACTATAGTTGGCTGAATTTCAATACAACTAGCTCATTGGACTTCTATGTTTCTACCTAAATGAATAATAATATGAAGTTCATCAATATTTTAACTAATAAAACGTTTTATTACAGCTTTGTAATATCTCAAAAAAAAATAAAAAAAAAATAAAAAAAAATACGTTTTCTGAAAGAGATTTTCTTATACCTTTAGAAAATTATATTTCAAAGAAAACTCAAAACACTGACAAAGGCTATTATAGGTATATGTTTAGTAAAAAGTTTTTTTTTATCTTTTGCAATTTTGTTTTCATTTAGTGTTGTTATCGCTTCTCTCTGGTTAAACTGAATAACGCTTTAAATAAATAAAATATGGCCCATGGTTATGACTATCGCAAGTACACGTTGAATATTCAATAGACATTGTTTGAACTTTTATGTTTTTAATTGTTAAAAATACACAATGACCAAAATTAATAAACGTTCCGTTATTTATCATTAGTACGATAACAAGGAATTTCAAAACTAGTAAAAGTAAAGTACCAAACAAATAAATTAATTAAAAATTAAAATCTATGCATTTAATTTTGTATTACCTACTAATTGCTATGTTCGATTAAGATATAGTTACTTAATAATACAATTGGATCTATCATATCATTGTTTATCACTTAATATGTAGTAAAACCGTAAAGGATAAAATTTACTTAATAGACAAAACATCTGTTTTTGAAGAAACTGTTGATAGTATAGGTTAATAGTTTAGTAATGGGATTTATATTTAATTTTGAACTAAAATTAAAGATTTGAAGATATCAGAAATAAGTTCTATATAACAAATAACTGAAAGCATGTACCTATATGTGCTCCATTGTTTTTTACTATAATATTAATCCTTGTATTTAATAATATATTACACTTCGCTTCAATACTACTTCCTATATTTAAATAATATCTATTTTGCTTTGTTTACATATTATATGTGAGTGTGTGTGTATGTGTGTGGGGGAGTCTGTAGTGTCTGTGTGCTTGTATGTGAATTAAATGTGTTTTTCAAGTCCATATCTGTTGCTCATACACTTCAAATGACTTCTAAAGTACCTA